TTCATTCCAGGAGATTTCTTCTTAATGCAGGCGTCCTCAAACTACGGCCCACAGGCTACATGTGGCCCACCAAGGACATTTATCCGGCCCGCCAGGTGTTTTTGCTACCGCTGCCTGTCCTGCTTAGCAGCCGACTCATCCTGGGCCCACAGTGCGCATGTGTGGAATGTGCGCCCCACTCTCCAACGGCCCTCCAACGGTTTGAGGGACAGTGAACTGGTCCCCTGTTTAAAAAGTTTGAGGACTGGCCAGGCGAGGTGGCTCATGCCTATAATCCTAGCACTCTGGGAGGCCGAGGCAGGCGGATTGCTCGAGGTCAGGAGTTTGAAACCAGCCTGAGCAAGAGCGAGACCCCGTCTCTACTATAAATAAAAAGAAATTAATTGGCCAACTAATATATATAGAAAAAATTAGCCGGGCATGGTTGGCCCATGCCTATAGTCCCAGCTACTTGGGAGACTGAGGCAGGAGGATCGCTTGAGCCCAGGAGTTTGAGGTTGCTGTGAGCTAGGCTGATGCCACAGCACTCACTCTAGCCTGGGCAACAAAGTGAGACTCTGTCTCAGAAAAAAAAAAAAAAAAAAGTTTGAGGACCCCTGTTTAATGTATGCATATGCTATCTCTCCTTATGAGCAAAGAGAATAGTTTTACAGAAGTCTTCTACTTAAGAAAATCAAATTAAAATGCTGAACCTTGCTCATCAATTTAACTTTTATTTTAATCAATGTAATAGGTGCACACAGATTTTTAAAATTTTTATAAAAGCAGTCACTTTATTAGGTTTATAATGAAAAATCATTGTCCCCTGTTCCTTTCACCAATTTACCTCCCTATTTCTAATAGGCTAACACTATTTCTGTTCTTACACACACACACACACACACACACACACACACACACACACGCACGCACGAGCAATTACATTTTCCAGTCTCTCTTGCGTACTGCACATAGGTGTGGCCATATGTCACAATTCCTAATGTAAATATGTCATTGAGTGAGAATTCTGGGGAAGTCTCTAAAGGAAGTATATTAGTTATCTATTACTAAATAACAAACCACTCCAAAACAGAAGTTGAAAACATCATTATTTACTCATGATTATGCAATTTGGCCTGGTCTCAGTGGGGCAGTCCTGGGATCACTAATTCAGCTGGGTTATCTGGTAGCTCAAATAGGGCCTGATGGCACAAGATGGCCTCCTTAGTTCCCCATCTCATAACCTCTACAGTGGAATTGCCTGGTTTTCTCTCACAGCAGTCAAAGAGGGCAAGCCCCATGCACAAGTGCTTATCAAGCCTTTGCTCGTGTCTCATTTGTTGATGTTCCACTGGTAAACAAGTCACATTGCCAATCCCATACATAGTCAGTGTGGGACAGGACTATGCAGTTCTATCATTGGGAAGCATCACAGTTGTCAGGTCTGGAGGCAGCTCTGCAATTGGTTAAGGAGGTAGTTTTTTGTTAAGCCTAGAAGTAGCTTATAACACTACTTGCTCAGTACAGGACCCCCTTAGGACATATCAAAGTCCTGTGCTTAGAGAACAAACACATATAGTAGCTAGTGGGAACTTTTCTACATATAATCCCTAAGCCTTTAGTTAAGTGTTGACAATTATTGTACCTGTTATGAGCATGGTAAATCCATGCTCAGACCAAAGTAATAAAGAGGGAAAACAAACCACCAAAAATGTCTATTGATATCTTCACGTAGGCCCTAGGAAAATCATGGTCCAAGAAATGCAACAATTTAAACAATGGGCCAAGCAGTACTGATTAGACTGCAGCAAAATAATGATTAAAAAAAATTTTAAAGAGGCTGGGAGAAGAAAGGATTCATACTGGATGTGTAACCAAGGACTCCCAAAAGAAACTGAAAAATACTTTGATGGAGGGGGCATATCAAAGTTCTTAGGTCAAGTAGATGTGGACTTAGCACATCAAGAAATTCTGGATTGAGCCGGCTGTGGTGGCTCACACCTGTAATCCTAGGACTCTGGGAGTCTGAGGGAGGAAGATGATTTGAGGTCAGGAGTTCGAGACCAGCCTGAGCAACAGCGAGACCCCATCTCTACTCAAAATAGAAAAAAATTAGCCAAGTATGGTGGCGAGTGCCTATCATCCCAGCTAATTGGGAAGCTGAGGCAGGAGGACCACTCGAGCCCAGGAGTTTGAGGTTGCTGTGAGCTAGACTGACACCATGGCATTGTAGCTTGGGCAACAGAGCAAGACTCTGTCTCAAAAAAAAAAAAAAAAAAAAAAAAAAAAAAAAAAAACAAAAAAAATAAAGAGTTAAATGTTTTAAAAATCAAGTAGAAAAACATAAGTGAATAGGTTTTTACATTTCTGGATTATTGGGGTCTTTTATAGCTAAAAAGCAATGTAAAAATAACAAAAAAGGCTGGTAGATTTGGATCACATAAGAATAAAACAAACTTTTTCATGTCAA